AAAAGCGGTTTGGATGGACATTCCGTGGGGATTATCATGGATGGCGCTGGTCATTAAGAGAGCTGTTTGCTGTCATGGGTGTTGGTTCAGGGAGCCTTATGAGGTGCTTTCTCTCAGATGGGTGACATTCTTTTGCCCTTCATGCATGATTCAGGCATAGCAAGGCAGTATTTCTTCTGTGATGGGCTGCAGTGGCTGGGTCTTCAAGAAGTTAAATCTGTCTTTGTGCATACACGCCTATTCTCTGCCTTCTTGTCTCATGCATGGACATAGCTGGTGTTGTCCCAGACTGGTCTCTGCATATTGCTCCTGCTCCATCAAGAGCCTTTGTTGAATTAGCGAGGCATTCCCTCTGCCTGGGCGGAGCATTGAAAGCTAAGCCTCCTCAGATAAATGCAATTCCATGGAAGCAAGGCTAGACTACCTCAGTCTCTTGGGCCAAAAATAAAAATCTTTCTTCTGGGAAGAGCATAACTAGAGTAAGCCAGCAGTCATTGTGTAAATGCCCTGCTCTCAGAAAAAATAAATGAGGAAAATCTAGATTTCCTCAATGAAGTTTTTTTTATTATTTAATTATTTACTTTTAGTTTCATGATAATTTTAATTTTCAAATAGTTTTAAATTTGCAGAAAGAACCCAACCTAATTTCTTTTGCTATTGGCCTCTTGCATTGGTGTGAAATATATTTCTTAAAAACAGCAAATCAGTATTGACATGTTATTATTTGCTAAAGTCCAAATAATGTTCAGATTATTGGCTTTTGCATAGTATTATATATTAAGCTCCAAGATTCCATTTGGGGCACAACGTTGCATCTTGCAGCTTAGTTATGGCTCTTAGGCTTCTTCTGGCAATGGCAGCTTCTCAGTTTTCTGTGCTATATAACTATGATAGTTCTAAAGAGTATTAGTTAGGTATTTTGTAAATTCCTTCTCAACTCAAATGTCTGATGTTTACCCTATTTCTGCTCTCTGGGGGGCCAGCCACCAGCAGCACAAGGCTTTGATAGGAATCTGGAGAGGGCCAGGCTAAACTTTTCTATGGGGAGATTAGGGAAAAAGGCACCCACAAACTCTCTTGATGGTTTCCTTCTTTATTCTCTCTCTCTCTCCCTCTCCTTCTCCTTCTCCCTCCCTCCCCCACTCTTCATATGTTTTCCACAGTTTTTGTCCCCCAACAGAATCTTCTAGACAGTACAAGAGTCAAACAGTTGCATTCCATTTTTAAGTGAATGATTATAGGTAAAAACATGTTCTTCATTTCCCTCACAGGATTAAATATTTTATGTATTACGGGTGAAAAACAAATTATCCCAGGAACCCAAATACATTCATACCCAAGCTACTTGTTAGAGATCCATGTGGCAAGCAAGGCGTTTTTGTCAGTCTTTTACTGGCAGGCTGCATTGTGCACTTATAAAGGAAGGGCCAATTACTTATTACTTATCTTGAGAGGTAATCTTATAAAGGATTGTAAAGAAATAACAAACCTAAACTTTTATATATGAAAGTCAGCTCTACTTTAAATCTTTTGGGTACATATCCATTCATTAATGTTTTTTTTTTCATCAGGAGATTGAGGACAGAAATCCGAAATGGGTATAAGGAATTAATCATTACCTTTGGTCATCAACTAAACCTAGTAATGAGAGTACGTCAGCCATAATAATTGGGCTGCTTTGTTTTTGTTCCCTGACCTTAAAGAGTTTCAGATTTAACTATATGCCTTCCTAAAACTTTAGATTGTCTTCTTGGTTATTTAACATAAACATCTTAGTCTAAGTTTGTTATTTCCAAAGCTTTGTTTCAGCTGTGATGCACACATCTCCCGACATTAATGTTAAAAGAATTTGAACTTGGGCTACTGGGACTCAGTTCTTAGTCATTAACTTGAGCTACAATCCATGCAGTTCCTTAGGTGAGGCTCACAGACCCTGGCTGTGAAACATATACTTGTATTTATTTTATTCATCAAAACTCTGTATAAGCTATTATTATTATTATCAAATTAGACAGTGCAGCTTAGGGAAGGGTCATCTTATGATATCCACGGGTAAAAATGCCCAGTAGAATGGGATGTTTCCTAGAGATAAACACACTAAATTACAGATAGTGGAGATCTTCCCACGTCCACTCATACCACAGTAGATATCAAAGAAGAAGAGCTGCAGCGAACACTTAAAGGCACAGCAGAAGTGAAAGACATTCTGGGGTCTGCAGTCCTGTGGCCTTGCCTAAACGAGATTGGCCTACCAGGAAGTTCCCTTCTGCTGGGCTGACTCCTGGAACTTCAAGTGCAACTCGCTGTTTCACCAGCATGGCCCACAGTACCCTATGACTAGATTATGTGTTTCCACAGTTTTTATTTATTGTTTCAGAACGATGCAGTCAACAGACTAGGAGAGAGCTGCCATTGTAAAGACAATTGTTATTATACTCATAAATTCTAGTGTGGCCAGCCATATGGGGAAGCAAGGGTAATGGGGCAGAGGGAAGGAGTACTGAGCAGGAGTCATGACTTTGGTTTTTGTGGGAGGAACAAGGAAGATGGGGGAAGCAGGCACAAGGTTGGTCAGACTGGATGATTTCTATGGTCTTTGGAACAGAAGGTTGCTTAGCTACAACTCCGTGTGTCTTGTCCCTGGGCGATTAGGAAGTTATGGTTATTAGGACAGTGAATAGAGTTCAGGAATGTGAAAGACCATTAAAGGGAGAGTTGAGTGATCCTTGTAGCTTGGGGGTGATAAAGCGGCAGGAGGCCAAAAAAAAAGTGATCAAAGTAGCTGGGCTGGGTGTGAGTTGAGCTGATGTGAAAGTACAGAGTTTTCAGAAGCTACATCCATGCTTACCAGGCTTGGATTCCATGTTGTTATGGAAGAGCTAGAAGACATAGAGGAAACTTTTGTAACATCCTACCAGGATTGTGTTCTGTTAGTGCATTGCTTTGAACGCATTAATAACACACTCAGTAAACCAGTAATGTGTTGCTGTTGCATTATTGAAAAGAAATTATTAGGCACTTTTTTTTTTTTTTTTTTTGGTTTTTCGAGGCAGGGTTTCTCTGTGGTTTTGGAGCTTGTCCTGGAACTAGCTCTTGTAGACCAGGCTGGTCTCGAAATTAAGCACTTTCTTTTGGTATAATTTAACCAAGAGTGAACCCAGATTTGACTTTTCTCTGTCTGTCTGTCTGTCTCGCTCTGGGGAAAGTGTGTGTGTGTTTTCTTGTTCCCTGTCCATTGTATAAGTCTGAATCTATACATCTATGCCTGCCTGAATGCTGTCTTGTGGATCTAATGCTCCTGGCTCTGAGTCTGTGTGTGCCTGAGTATGCCCACGTGTGGGTCTCTAGCAAAGGGCTTTGCTTTCTCTTGAATTGAACAGCACAAAAAGTATCACATTGGGAAAGGAAGAAGGAATAGTTTATAGAATCTTTAACAGAGTTTTACAAGAGATCCAGCCACTGACTCAAACTGATCCCAAACGATCTAGTTAAAGAACAGTATTATAAACATCATTATTTACCAAGTAATATCCATTATGTTGCATCTAGCATTTATGATGGATATTAATTTTATAAGGTTGCTTTAATTTTAATTTCTGTTTTCATCAAATGATTTTCATTACCTACATACACATTTGCATCATTCTGAGATGGGGGCATGAAAGAGTACCTAACTTCTGACCGCAATCATGCTTTAGATTGGAAAAGTTGATTGCATGGGAAATCCAATGTTGTCCTTATTTTAAATGGTCTGCCTTTTAAACTTTGGCTACCCGAGTCACCAACTACAATGCTACCAGTACCAGCAGGAGCTAGACTCCAAAAGATACAGCCTGAAGAAATTCTGTTCCCTCAGGCACTGATGCTTTTAAAACTACTAAGAGAATTTATCTAAATCTCTGTCCTGCTAAAGAACTCAAGATCCAAAAGTTGGGGTAGACTCCTGCTTCCTAGAGAGGCTCAGTAGCAAGCAGCTCACCTAGCTCGCCTCCTCATGTCTCCCAAGAAGTCCTCATAGTTTCTCTTGCCTCTCTTTATAAACCCTTCTCCACCTGGCTCCTCCCTACTACTTCCTGTCAGCTGGTAGCTTCTGGACCACAGATGAGTTTTATTTATTCAAACACATCTTTGCATCATTAAGCAAATGTTCCAGTGCATAAACAAAAGTAGCACACCTTAAAATAATATTCTAAAACAATCCAAGGCAAGAAAGGTTGGTCGTTGTATTTTTCTCTCAAAGGAAGGTTGAACAACAGTCTGAGTGCACAGTAAATCAGTGTTAAGTGGCCTCAAGGTGTATTATTAACTCTATGAGATCCAACAAAATGTTCTCTTTAATGTAAAGAGCTATTTTTATCATAATGTATTGTCACACATTACCATGCTGATGCTGACCTTGATCTCTTGGCTAATCCAGCTCTACATCTGCAACATCACTTCTATCTGATGCTCGCCTTTCACACTTAGCTCACATCTGACATGTTTGCAGACTAAGCTGTCAGTCAATAAATATTCAAAATAGTCTTTCTCAAACTTTGACATTGTGGAAGCATCAAACACCTTGATGGTGAGTTGTAGTCCCTAGAGGTGGCTGCTCTTGGAATGGGTATTTCCTTAGAACTAAGTGTCAAAACTTGGTCTCAGGCAAGTTGACTTGTGTTTGGGCGTCCTTGTGTTCTCTAACATGATAGTACTATCATTGAATAGACATCTTCATGGATACACTTGGTACTACCCAACATGTGGAGCTGATCCCTCTGCACTGAGACAGGCTATCCATGATGCTCAGCTATAATTTAGAGCTAGCCTTTCTTCTGCATATAAATAAAAAGATTTCTGATTTATCTACAAATTGCCTGCCAGGTATCTTATGGAGCCCTTTGATGTAGGTAGTGATGAGAAATGTCTAAATCTTCTGCTCTGCCTTTGCATATCCTGAGTGGGGATGAAGGAGACACTGTTGTCGGTGATTCACTTGTACATTTCTCTTTCATTCTTAGGGTCTAAGTCGCAGAACTGTCTATGGAACTCCCTTATTGATGGGCTCACTGGGAATGTCAAGGAGAAGCCACGGCCAACAATTGTTCAGGACACCCGACCCCCGGAGGAAATTCTGGCAGATGAGTTGCCACAACTGGATAGCCCAGAAGCTTTGGTGAAGACGTCCTTCAGGTTTGGTGGATGAGAATCCAGTTTGTTCCTTCTTAACGGTTTTGAAAGCTGTCTCAGTCCATTTGGATGCCTCCTCTGGGGGCAGCAAAGGACTGTTTCTTTGTGCTGTATAAATTAGCGTCGATGAAGGATTGTTGGAATGCCAGTTGGATTTTCAGGTAGATTTCCCAAATGCTGTGGCTCATTTCTGTTGGTAATTAACTGGTATTGGCATTTCAGTGCTGAGACTCAGCACTCTGTGATGTTGGTAGCTTGAATTGAGTTAATGATGCTTTTTGCCTCAAAAGACAATGATGCATCCAGATAGATACCCAGGGATACAGTGTGTGGTGGGAGACATTCAGCCTCACATTTTTGCCATTTCTTGCTTGGGGGAGGTTTCTACCTGTGAGAGATATAAGTGCTATCACTGAGAAGATGAAATGCCATCTTGTGTTGTTCCCCAGATGGTTGGCTGCTCTGCTCCTGTTCCTTGAGCCTGGCGTCTCCCTGGAAAGGTCTCTTTCGTTTTCTTTTAACTGCAAGCTCCATTTCCATTCAAACTCTATCTCTTATCTCCTCATCCATTTTAATAAAAGTTCATCTGGGTATGAATGTGTTATGAAAGAGGGATTTATTTTTTTATGAATGGGCCTTGAAATATCCAGTGCTACTATTGTCAGAAATTGAGATTTCATAATTCTTTCAGCTTCCTTCTCCCCCCCTCCTTCCTTTCTGTTAGGGTAACTTTTCTGGTCCCACTTTTCTTGTCACCGTAAACTCCAAATAGCCAGTGGAACATATAAACTTCACTTCAGGCAACTCGTAGACTCCATGAAATGTTTTCAAAAGGCTCTGTCTTTTGCGTAGAGGCAGTGTGTGTAATGGCTTAGTTAAAGCCGTTTCATTGTGTGCAGGTTCTTATGTAGACTGAATTATAGATGAATCCGAACAGAAGTGTGAATAGAGGTTTTGTTTGGATTTCTCGATGCAACATGATGGCTACACTGGGGAGACAAGGACTGCGGGCAAACGATTTTTCTTATTCCCATCAAGGGTTTGGTTATTGCATCCTGAGGTTTTGACTGCAATAGAAGCTCTCCCTGTGAGCCTGCATTTCTCTGCAAATGACAGCAGTAAAGAACAGAGTGTTGATTAGCTCTCTTTGTTTATGTGGCCTTGCCTTGGGGTCTGTCTGCTCATATATAATATATCCATAACCACTTACTCTATCTCAAACCAGACTTCTCTCATTACCAGCTGAAGGGTTACTCTCACAGAAGGACTGCTTGATCTGTTGTATCTGTCCTCATCACCCATTCTTCTTGTAATTGCCTTGAGCTTTTAAGTAGAAAGTGTATGTTGGTTGATGGTTCTTGTAATCGCTAGTTGTAGCCTGTGCCAATGTCTTCATTCCTGAAAGAGATTAATGATAAATTATTAAGGCTGGAACCTCTTTCTGGTACTTTGTGAAACTTGGTACAGTAGGGAGGGACTAGAGGATACAATATTTCACTTTTGTATCAGTTGAGGCTACAAACCCACTGGCAGTAGCCAATCATTTATTGATGCCCTGCGTGCTATTCTGCAACAGTTCTTTATAAGACACTGGACTGCTGTGACAGTGTTAAATGCAATACACTCCCTTGTGCAATTATTACCCTTGGGTATCAGGATCAGCTGTGAGATTTTTTTTTTGCACATAAATTTTCAAGCATCTGCAAACTACTCAGCTTATGTATCAGTTAGCAATTAAGCAGTATCAGGTTGTTGATAATGACACTTTCTTAAAAATGCCTTTTGAATTTCAAAGAAAGGAAGGAACTCTAGGTGAACTTTAAAGAATGCTTGTAGGAGCATTCATACCTGGAAACCTGAGACTCGTTGATTCATAATGTCTGTGATCTAGGTGAAAATGTGGCTTATATTCACATAGTTATTTGTTTGCTTTTACATCCCACCCAAAGTGTCCCCTCTCCCTTCCCCTCCTAGTCTCTCTTCACCTCCCATCGTCCCCCCTCTTCCACTTCTCCTTCTGTTTCTCTTCAGAAAAGAATGGGCCTCCTATGGTTATCAGCCAGCCATAGTATATCAAGTTTCAGTGAGACTAGGCACCTCCTCTTTTATTAAGGCTGGGTGAGGCAATCAGGTAAGAGGAATGGGTCCCAAAAACAGGCAACAGAGTCAGAGACATTCCCTGCTCTTTAGAGTCTCACAAGAAGACCAAGCTACACAACTGTAACATATATGCCGAGGGCCTAGGTCAGTACCATTCAGTCTACTGATTGTCCGTTTAGTCTCTGTGGGCCCCTATATCCCCATAGTTTTAAACCTCATGGAAATGCACACAGTTGGGAGTTCTCACCTGAGGTTCTGGAGGCTCTTGTTCGCTGAAAAGGAGCACAGATGCCCAGGAACTGTCAACACCTGTCCTCCCAAGAACTCTAGTGTCATTACTGTTGAGGGCTTCAGGACGAGTGACAGCTTTGATTGCTCCTTTTGGAATCCAGAACCATTAAATATGGTTACTAGCTCTGATTATCAAACAAGATCCAGACTGCAGTGGCAAAGAGCCTAATGTTCAAGTCCTCAGGAAGTTCTCGGGGCTCTTTAACTTCCCACAGGGGTGCCTTGCTTGCTGACAGTAGTATGAGAGTCAACTCTAATCCAGCTCTGTTTTCCATCTCCTGACAGAAAGGAGTATCAGGTTATGTACGATGCCCATGAAGTTATTAGCTGACATCACCAAACCCAAGTATCCTCTTTCCAGTGCTTTCATTGTCCCTTGCTGTCTGTCACTCAGCTGCATTTGGCAACATGCAGCATTTTCGCAGACATGTTCAAATAAAGTGGATACTTAAAGGGAAGGGGCCAGTGGCTTACATCCGCCTTCCTTCAAGATTTTTCTAGCTCTTTCCAAGCAGGGGGAGGCAAATACACACAAGCTACCCCCAAGGCAGAGAGTGAGCACTGGCTTAATATTTGCCTAATATGTTCATTCAAATACTTCTTTCAAGACCAAAAGGTTGGTATAGTGTAAAGTCAAATTCTATATGTCATTTCCAGAGATAGGATGAGTTTATACATTTATGAATAGTAGGCATGTTTTTCAGAAAAGTTTTGAAAGTCCATATGTTTTGGTCTCTCCCAGGCTTGCTGTTTTAATAACAAATATCCTCACACTGTCAGGCATGATGTTGGTGTAGAGGAAACAAAATACAGAATTGATGTTCCAAAGGATTTCCTAGTAAACTTGCTTAGGAGACATTAAGCTACACCAAGTAGAATTTGACTAAGGAAGCTCTGTCTCCCCAAATACCCCAAAGATAATTAGTTTGTGAACCAGGCCTGTTAGAGATAAGCAATACTTAGGCTGCTAGGTTGTAAAAGTTCAAGCTGGATTGACTAGCTATGAGGCTCCATCCTAACAAAAGGAGACACCCCTGACTCACAACCAGCCATTAGACCCATTTCTCTGTCAGAGAACGGGCCTGTAATGGACAACTCAAGGGGGCAGTGCAGGGCGACAAACATTCTAAATCTTGGCCTGTCGTAAAGCCCCCAGTGCTCTTCTTCTGAAGCATAATTCGACCAGGTGGACAAGATAATCCTGGGTAACAACAATTTGAAAAAGAATAAGACTGGGATATTTAAAATCAATTCTGGCAGCACCTTTTCTGTGTAAGTTTCCTAACTGCCTAAGTGGTCAGAGTTGCATGTGTACAGTCATAAGCCTAACGTGTATGTAAGTTAGTGAGCTCTTTGAAATCTTCCCCTTGACACTGGCTCCCCTTTGAGCATTGGCAAGAGCCAGATGGTGCCATTATCAAAGAATTTTTCCCTTATTTTTTCTGAGTGTGTGGAGTGAATATTTCTGCTTTAAGTCTGCAGTCCAAAAGATGTTGCCTGCTTGTGGTGTTTTGAATGAGATTAGAACCAATGGGTTCATTTATTTGAATACTTGGTACCCAGTGGGTAGAACTATTTGGGAAAGCTTATGAGGTGTGGCCTTGTTGGAGGAGGTGTGGCCTTGCCAGAGGAGATGTGTCATTGGGGGTGGATTTTGAGGTTTAACAAGACTTGCCATTCCTGGGGTTTCTATGTCTAAAGGTCATGGATCAATACGTTAGCTCTCAGCTTTCTCTTCATTCCACCAGCATGGACTCTCACCCTTGAGTCAGGGGTGTCTCCTTTTGTTAGGATGGAGCCTCATAGCTAGTCAATCCAGCTTGAACTTTTACAACCTAGCAGCCTAAGTATTGCTTATCTCTAACAGGCCTGGTTCACAAACTAATTATCTTTGGGGTATTTGGGGAGACAGAGCTTCCTTAGTCAAATTCTACTTGGTGTAGCTTAATGTCTCCTAAGCAAGTCAAATTAAACGCTCTCTTTTGTAAGTTGCCTTGGTTATGGTTTTTATCACAGCAATAGAAAAGTTACTGTTGAAGAGAAGAAACTGTCCCAGAGAGGTGGGGCCTATGATTTGGACTGAATTCAAATATAGACCAGTAAGGATGCTTGTTTGGGAGTTGGCTATCACCAAAGACAGTAGCCAGGAAGAAAATCCTACTTTGGGTCCTATTGATTATAAATCCTTGGAATCTCATCTCGAATAACTGGATCATTGCAAGCTTGCCCATAAATGCTATCCAGTTTCAAGATAAGTTCCTAGATCTACCACTTTGAGTCAGTCCTGCAAACAGCCTGGGACTGCCTCTGAAGGTCAACATGATCAGTTAGCAGTAATGACAACGTGTGTCACTAAAAGTGAGACTTTGACATTCAGACTTAGAAAGTAAGATTCTGAAAAATGAATGGACCACCCTTCCTCTCTCTAGGCTAGGCATGGCTAACTGAGATGTGCAAATGCCATCTCAGGTCTAAATCTATCTCCTGGCACCCTCCTCTGGTCCTTCCCTTCTGGGTGCTGAAGGGCAGAGGCTCAGTGTCTTGGGGCAGACAGTTCAGCGTAGTTTTGTGAACGAAGTGCCAGAGATTAAAGAGAAGCAGTTTTCTGTCTT